ACAATGACACCGTAGACCAATTGAAAGGGATGTGGCGCCGCTTGGTAGCGTCTTTGTTTTGGATAGAAAATGTCACGGGTTCCAATCTTGTCATCCCTACCTTCTCTTCTGGGCAGTAACGAAGGATCCATTAAGATCGAGTCAAATTTTACATGCAAAATCTTTAATTTAATGATACTAAATGCATGCAAGATGTAGTGAAGGTACAAAAAGAATCCTTTTCTTTACAATCCTATCTACTGTGATAAGAAAGCGCTCTTAGTTCAGTTCGGTAGAACGTGGGTCTCCAAAACCCGATGTCGTAGGTTCAAATCCTACAGAGCGTGATGTAGACTCGAAAGCTTGGAGTTCCGACTTACACAACCGCAAGAGAAAGCCAAAAGCAGTAGTTTTTACTAAAACGGATTTTTTTATGACCCTCGAGACGTCTACTCAACGAAGAAGCCCGCTCGATAGATAAAGCCGATACAGAAAGACGCTAGTCGTAAGGTAAAGGCTCTCCAAGACCTCGAGTACTAAACTTACCGAAAGGAAGAGATATTTTGAACTTCACTTACATACAGCTGGAACTCCAAGGTTGGTTTCATTAGCTGACTAATAAAAAAGGGATGATCACTTATACACTTTCAAAACTTACTTCTCTTATCCCCTTGACCCTACATCAAGGAATTTGAAGAGGCCTTCAAAAAAATGCTCTACGAGAAAGACTTTGATTCAAACAAGGAATCGCAAACAAGCAACTAAGCTAATGTAATGGCATCCGTGAGAAATTCATTCACAGAAGCGATTGACCGATACAGAACGCGATTGATTATATTCCACCGATTAGCCTTGCCCAATTGCTAACAAATCATAGATCTTCCAGATAAGACCAAGGCGAATGAACTCACTCTGCCAAGCCACAATTCTAATGGATAATCATTGTGACTTCGAGACTTGGTGTAACCCGCTTAAAGTGACGAGATCCTGTATGACTGAGTTTTAAAAGGACAGAATAGTTAGGGTTAGCTTATTATAACTGGTTAGAT